ATCTATGTAGTAGAAGAAATTATTGGTTCGATTGAGGTACAGTACGACTTGGGTATATACTAGGTACATCTGTGTACGTAAAAAATTAATAAAAAAAAATTTGGGTACGTGTTTCATGTATTCGGTACGTATGCAGAAGTATCATTCGAAGTACCATATGCCAGTAAGTACCCGGTACAGATACATCATATTTTTTGAAATATCACTGCTTCATAGACTGTGATGCTGCATTCAATGAAGTTCTCTTATTTACCCCCAAAATAATAATACAAAAAATTAATGGGTCAGTGCTTATGCTTCTATCATTGAATTTTCTAGCTGTAGACTTCAAGAATCAACCTGGTAAAATTCTCAGATGTGATCATGAAACTTATTTTCTAGTCAACTGCTATTGTTCTATTTATTTTTGTAGGTGTGTAGGTGAAAATCTGACCACACTGCAATCTTAGTATCCAGTTGGAGAGCACCGGAAGAATAGATGGCACCTGACTAACCTGCAACAGAAAGAGAAGACTCCGGTGCTGGTTCACCACCCGGGGGTACTCCGACGATCAAGTCAGTACTCAATATCTCTCAAAGATAATCAATAGTGCTAAACTCACTAGCTTGAGCATAAAAAGACATACCTTAGACCCATGGGGGTGCCTCTCTTTTATAGCCAACTCAATCCTAGTCCCAATGGAAGCCTAACTCCAATGGACTCGGGATTATTGCTAATCTTGGACTCCTAATAGGATCAGGATAAGCTCTCTAAGAGTCTCATTTTTACCCAAACTGAAGTCTCCTCCCATTCTAGGACTCTTGTTCTTTATCCGCTTATCTCGGATTTCAGTATTCTTGTTGATAACCTCGGCCTAACCGAGATCATCTCGGCATCATGACCAAGACACGTGGCACCTCAACTGGCACTTCGGTGACACCTCAGCCACGTGTTGTCATTCAAAAATTGTGTCCCCACAACTGCCCCCTAGGTTCTATTACCTCGGCATCCTGAGGTGATGGAACCTGTATCATTCCCTCCATTTAGCACGTCGGCTAAGCTTGCTTCATCATCTATTCCTGAAGTCAGAACTCGTTGGCTCAATATGATCGAGACCTATAATCTTCTTTCATCAATACTTTGGAACCAACAACCATGTTCGTCCAAGTTTTTCAACCGAAACCGTCCTCCTAGCCGAGGTATTTGTTTCATTAAATCAAAAACTCCAAGTGTTTCACCACGCGTATGAACTGGTATGTACAATATTTCAACCAAAACCGTCACGTATCTTTCCTCTACGGTGCTGTGTCTGATATGCATCATTAAGTCGTCTCGCACTTACTTGCCGTGTCTGACAAGCACGTTGTCCCAAGCACCATAATTGCCATTTTGCCGCCATTTCATGCTTTTGATCAAAATCAACCCTCTCAAATCTTCCATTTGCTGCTTTTGCGAAGCTTTCTGCAACCAGTTTCACTCTCTCCCTCCGGTGAGGCTTTTGCTGATCCTTTTCGATTGTTGCCGTCGTCTGATTTCAGCGATCCTCATATCGGCTTCACTTTTTCTGGTAAGACACTGTTCCTCCTGGTTTCAATTTTTGTTGCTCTTCAAGAGTTTTTGCTTCATTACTTGTTGTCATTGCTGATTTGCTCAAGTATTCAATTTCATGAATCATGTATCTCAGTGTGTCTATTTCATGATTTTGTTTTTGCCCAAGTCTTGAATACACATACTGTTCGTTGCTAGTATCATGTCTGGTTCATTATTTTCTTGTTCTTCACATACTTACTTAGTGCCTGTGTACTTGGCTTAATTTTGTCATCATCTTGACTCTGATTTTTCTCTTATTGTTTTTCTTGTTGTATTTCTAGATCCTTGTCTTCGTTTCTGTTTTCTGCATAGTCTTAGAACCATGTCCCTTCTTGAAATTGTTGCCTAGATAATGGTAGAGAGGCTCTCCCAGCTGACAGTCAATGCTGAACCACCGTTAACCGTTGAAGTAGATTAGTCCGACGTTCTTGCCTTAGTCTCTAGTTCTTAGGGTCTTCATCTTTGTACTTTTGTTTTCTTTGCATATGTAACCTTTTTGCTTCTGAAAAATGTCTGTCGTTGGCCGATGTGTTACTGCTTTGATCTTGAACAAGGAATCACTTTACTAGGTCGAAGTGCCTTTTTTAATGCACGTTTGTGTTTTTCTGAATGTTGAATGTTTTCTTCTGCTGACTGCCTGTATGCTTCCCCATACTTAGAATTTTTTCAACTTTTTTCGAATATATTCTGCAAATCACTTCGGGGTAGTACACCTCGGATAAGCATCACTTCAGAATTATCATTGGGTAGACACCTCGAACTAACATAACCTCGGTACTTTATTTCTACAAGTGTGTTCTTTAACAGAGGTATTCAAGTGTTGCTTCCTCATTTGTACTTGCCTTCTTTTATACACGCTTCACTTTTCCCAACCTTCTAAGCTTTTAACAAGCTAGTTGGTCATCTCGGATGATCATATCTCAGAAAATGTCTTTTAGTGTGATCTCGGCTATACCAAACTTGTAAATTGTTAAAAAATTTCAACAAGTGGTAGACTTCGTAATCTTCAACTATTTTAACTTGTAAATTGTTTCAAAATTTCAACAAGTGGTAACATTATCATTCCTTCTCCTTGACCACTAATGTGAACATAAGTTGCACTTAGGATCACATTATGGAAGTTGGCTTCATGCCGCAGTCACAGATCCTTTCTAGCCGATGTGTTCTTCTTTTTACTCTTGTATGGAAAAATAATTTGCATGTCTTCAATTTACACCTTAACTGTGTAATCTCCTCGTAAATTGTTTTAAAATTTCAACAAGTGGTAACATTATCATTCCTTCTCCTTGACCATTAATGTGAACATAAGTTGCACTTAGGACCACATTATGGAAGTTGGCTTCATGCCGCAGTCACAGATCCTTTTAAGCCGATGTGTTCTTCTTTTTACTCTTGTATGGAAAAATAATTTGCATGTCTTCAATTTACACCTTAACTGTGTAATCTCCTCAGGGTGTAACACCTCGGTTGTATCCACTAATCGGTTTATCTCAGCCTCAGTTTAATACTTGAAAACATTGTAACAAATGTTTTCACAAGTGTTGCTCAAAAATTCGCCACTTTTCTTTTACTTCTTAAGACTTCTGTCTTTCATTATCTTCCAAGTCCTGGCAACATAGTAATCTCGGCAAGTATGTAGATACTTCTTTCAGTACAACCTTGTCTTGACTTGTAAATTTTTTTCAAATTTCAACAAATGTTAAACATCATCTCGGTTTAACTCTGCTTGTAAACTTTTCTCAAGTTTCAACAAGTGTTAAACATCATCTTGGTTTAACTTTGCTTGTAAACTTTTCTCAAGTTTCAACAAGCGTTTGAACATTATATCGGTTTAACTCAACTTGTAAATTGCTACAAATTTCAACAAGTGTTTAAACAATGATCTCGGTTTAACTTCAGCTTGTAAATTGCTACAAATTTCAACAAGTGTTAAACAATGATCTCGGTTTAACTTCAACTTGTAAATAGCTACAAATTTCAACACGTGTTAAACAATGATCTCGGTTTAACTTCAACTTGTAAATTGCTACAAATTTCAACAAGTGTTAAACATTAATCTCGGTTTAACTTCAACTTGTAAATTGCTACAAATTTCAACAAGTGTTAAACAATAATCTCGGTTTAAATTGCTACAAATTTCAACAAGTGTTAAACAATAATCTCAGTTTAACTTCAACTTGTAAATTGCTACAAATTTCAATAAATGTTAAACATCTTTGTCTTCTCTCTGCCCCCTAATTGTGTGTTTCTTTTTTATCTTCTAGGATCTGAGATTTTGCTCACTGAACTCTTCTCTTCTCAGATTTAAGTGCCGAGCTCTTGTCTTCTAGAATCTTGGATCTGCTCACTCAGGTTGAGCTCTTCTCTTCTCGGACCTATTCATCTAGGCCGAGATCATGTCTTCTGGGATCTGGGATCCGGGATTTGCTCACTTAGGCTGAGCTCTTCTATACTCGAATGTCATCTCCTTGGGAACGCTTATGCCCCCTATCTTTGCGTCCCTTCTGGAAGGTCCTTCATTTTGTTTATGTTGACACATTCTCCATCTTTGCTAAACTTGTCGTTTCCGCTACGTTGATCTTGTACGATGATGGCCATCTATTCTCCTTTCTTTCCCACAGACGGCGCCAAATTGTGTGGGTGAAAATCTGACCACACTGCAATCTTAGTATCCAGCTGGAGAGCACTGGCAGAATAGATGGCACCTGACAAACCTATAACAGAAAGAGAAGACTCCGGTGGTGGTTTGCCACCCGGGGGTACTCTGACGATCAAGTCAGTACTCAATATCTCTCAAAGATAATCAATAGTGCTAAACTCACTAGCTTGAGCATAAAAAGACATACCTTAGATCCATGGGGGTGCCTCTCTTTTATAGCCAACTCAATCCTAGTCCCAATGGAAGCCTAACTCCAATGGACTGAGGATTACTGCTAATCTTAGACTCCCAATAGGATCAGGATAAGCTCTCTAAGAGTCTCATCTTTACCCAAACTGAAGTCTCCTCCCATTCTAGGACTCTTGTTCTTTATCCGCTTATCTCGAATTCCGGTATCCTCGATGATAACCTCGGCCTAATCGAGATCATCTCGGCATCATGATCAGGACACGTGGCACCTCGGCTGGCACTTCGGTGACACCTCGGCCACGTGTTGTCATTCAAAAATTATGTCCCCATAGTAAGTTAAAAAAAAGTCCCCATTTTGACCACAAAAGATAACATAGAAACATCATACTTTGTCCATGAAATGCCATTTTCATCCTTAACATAACATCAAGAACTGCATGATCAATTTTAAATATGACAATATAATGAAGTCAGTGCTTAGGCTTTTATTATTATTATTATTGTATTATCTGTACACTTCAAGAACCAACCTTGTAAAATCTCAGATGTGATCATTGAACATTTTTGTTATTGATTTTTTAGTCAATGAGGTAGCAAAAAAAATATTATTCTTCACCTAATACAAAAAATTAAATTTATTGATTATAAATATGTAGTTTAAATTTTCTTGGAAGTTGTGGATTTGATGATGGCAGGAGTTTCATAATTTTTTAACCAATTGCAGCATGTTATGAATACTGGAATTCAGATACTATAACCAGTTTGGAGGTATGTTGCCCAACTCAATTACCAATCTGTCAACCCAATTGACAAAGCTAGGCTTTGGAGGAAACATGATTAGTGGTTCAATAATTCCAACAGAGATTGCGAACCTCGCTAACTTAGATACACTGGTCATGAATGAAAATTTCCTAACAGATCACATCCTGTCTATTTCCATTGAGAAGTTTTCTAACTTGAAATATTTGGACTTGTCCAGAAATCAGTTTACAGAGAATGCCAAGCCTCGAGAAATATCAGGCATTAGAACCTTGTCAAGGTCCTAGTAACTGTTTTTGTTCTCAAGTATTGATTTTGAAAGAATCTGTTTTTCAAAGCTATAGTGTATCAGTTCATGCCAAATAGGAGCTTGGAGAAGATGTGTACAGCTACGGAATTCTCCTGTCGGAGCTTTTCACTGGAAGAAGACCTGCAGATGATTTATTGAAAGACAATCTAAACCCTTCACAACTTTGTCAAAATGGCACTGCCCAATCTGCCATGTGCAAAGACAGCGAAAAAGAAGCAAGTGATGTTGGGTATTCAATTGATTTGAGAAGTGAACTGAGTGAGAGTGTTTGAATTCTGTTTAGCAAATTGGAGTTTTTTGTTCATCAGATTCTCCTCAGGGACAGATTGAACAGGGGACAGGTCGCCATGAAACTGCTTTCTATCACGCAGGATTGCACGAAAAACAGAATCATAGCATTGATGACAGGTGAAATTTCTGATATAATGTCCAACAGTTGAAACTCATTAAATGCATTCCATTGAGATTTCCTATTAGGTCTCTACTATAGCAAGTGATTCTCTCAACCAACTTTTATGAAGATTCACCCATCAATCCATAGTAGTCCTAGTCTGATTTCAAGGATGATAGAGGAAGAGTTTGAGAGCATTGCATACAAGACCATACAGGATGATGGAGGAAACTTTTATTTTGTAAAGCTTTATCAATGAAGTTTTCTTTTTTGCACAAAAATAAAATAAATAAATAATAAATAAAAATCAAACAGGAAACTTCTATTTTGTAAATCTTAATTTTTAAGTGAAAAGATATTTGAATTTCTCTTTACTCCGTGATGAAGGGAACTTCTAGCCTCTAGGTTGGGTTAAGCAAATGAGACACACCTAATTTCACATACCTTTTCCCTTTTCCTTTTCAAATCTCTTAACCAAACATAGCATAGCGATTTTTTTTTTCTTCCTTCTTCCAACTATCTTCATTTGGATCATATGTTTGTCTAGAGTTTGGTATTTATTCATAGCACACTGTCTTCCGATTTGAGTCTTTTAAGAAATCAAAAATGGAGAAGGCAATGTTTTCTTTAATGTTGTGTTTGGTTGAGAGATTTGAGAAGGGATTTGAAAAGGGATCTGAAATTAAGTAAAATATAGGTATATTTTATATTTCACATATCTTTTCTCTTTCTTTTTCAAAATCCCTTTCTAAATTCGCCAACCAAACACTGTGTAAAGGTAACCGATAACAATCTCAGATAGGCTCCAGACTCACCGTCTATCCTCACTGAGACGGAAACCCTAGCTTCTTCCAATTTTTCATGCTCAAGGGCGTTTGAGTCCACTGAGTCGATCCCAATCTCATTTCTTGTACTTTCAAGGTCCCTCCTCGCCTCATTGTAAGAATCCCTAACGCCAGTGGCGGGGAGCCACATGGTGACCAAGGGGGTCACGTGCCCCCCTTAATATGTATATAAATAAAATTTTAAACAAAAATAATATTTAGAATAAAATGTCAAGGGTATTTTTAAATTTATGAAAACAATAGTGATTGTTTTATTGAAAATGAAGTGACTACAATAAATTATATTTTTATGTATGAAAATTTGGTGAAAAAAATCTCAATATGAAGGTAATATCCATCATTATTGATATACAAATATAATTAATCTCACTATATATATATATATAAATTACTAGAGTGTTAGTTGTATTTGCATGTGGAGTTTAGAGTGGTTGTTATATTTGCATACGAAATTTACTATTTTTATGTTGCATTACTATTTTTTAGTGATATCATATGTCGATAATGATGTGATATCACTATTATATGAAATTTTTACTCAAATTTTATAAAAAATTGATTTATCTTACCATTATATAATTTATTAATATATTACTTTTTTACATTATCCATAATACACTAGTTACATGCAATAGTTTCTTTTCGATTTTATTCGAAATTAATTGTAAAATTTTAAATGAAATACTTTTGTAATAATATTTAAGTTTTTACATTTAATATTAATTCAAAAATTATTATTATTATTTTCTTATTGTTAGTTATGGAAAAAAAAATTAAAATTATAATCAATAAGTAGTCCTTCTGATTTAGTTTCTTGGCTTCGCCACTACCTAAACCCGTATTTTTCTATCGATTTGATTTTCTCTCAATTCATTTGCAATTCTGTATTTTTCCATCGAATTGGTTTTTCCTCAATTCATTGGTAAGTTTGTGTCTCAGATCTACATATGCATACATATTGGTGTAAATTTGCGCGTGTATGATTTGTGCGTTTTGTTGGTGTTTTTGATAATTGAGTTGGGGTGGGGTGGGGCTAATTTTGCAATCGTTTTCAACCCAGGATAGAACTGGGAAGTTGTGAATCTGGTTGCTGAACTCGGTGGTATTGTTTTGAATTTTGAATTTTGAATTTTGTGTCTTCCCATGAATGTCTCTGTGGACATGTCAATCTCCTGAGTTTCTACTGCAAATCTCGATGTTGTTTGCTCCTCTTTTTTTTTTTGGGTGGAGGAGCTGGACAAGGGTTGGGGTGACAGCTGGTGCACGAGAGGGGTGGGAAGAAGGTCGGAGGTGGTGGAAAAGCTTGATTTTTTTAATTTATTTTTTGAGTTTTGCTTTTGAATTTTGAATTTTGAATTTTGTGTCTTCCCATGAATGTCTCTGTGGACATGTCAATCTCCTGAGTTTCTACTGCAATCTCGATGTTGTTTGCTCCTCTTTTTTTTTTTGGGTGGAGGAGCTGGACAAGGGTTGGGGTGACAGCCGGTGCACGAGAGGGGTGGAAAGAAGGCAGGAGGTGGTGGAAAAGCTTGATTTTTTAAATTTATTTTTTGAGTTTTGCCCCCAAAACGACATTAGGCACTACAAAATGCACTACACAAGTGTGCACTAGAGGATCTGAACTCGAATATCCTTTGTGTCAAAATCTCAGATGTGACAGAACATCTGATTTCCTTAAAAATATTAAGGGGAGGGAACAACATTTTAGTCAACTGAGAACCATCCACTATGAAATGGTCGTTAAGTTCGTTACCTATATAAACACATATGAAATAGCCACCTGCCCATCCCAACTCACCCTAATAGCAGTAACTATTTTCCACCTAGCCGGCCAAGATGTCTGCATCAATGAAGTTGTCTTGTACTTTTCAGGACTAATTTATTACATATTAGAAATCTTAATTTCTGGCATGACATTTTAACTTTTAATTTTTGTGGGTTTTGATAATGCTCAACTAACAGAGGAACATGTCAGAGTTTGGGCAAGTTTTATCCCTAAAAAAATATTTTCTTCTTTTGTTTCTAGTGAACACAAAAACAAATAGATTTCAATCAATTTACTAGAGAATCAATACCCGAGATTCAAAAGTCTTGCTTCTTATTTTGAAGAAGGGCAAATTACAAACACCCCCTCGAGGTTTGGTAAAAATACAGATTCCACCATGAGGTTTGAGAAATTACAAATTGCCCCCTAAGGGTCAAATTTTCATAACAAATTAGGGGAAATTAGGGAAAAATCTGTATGAAAATAAAAACCTCAGGGGGAAATTTATATTTTCACCAAACCTCGAGGGGGTGTTTGTAATTTGCCCTTTGAAGAATATAAAATAATATTAATAATAACATCGACGAGGCAAGACATCATCACATTGATCAATTATTAGCATGAAAATAAAGTAATGAATGCTTAATTTAATAAATAAATGAATAAAGAAAAAACTCACAGTCATAACCAGGTGTGCCTATTTTTATTGTCCCGAGTTGGTATTGATCATAAAGGTATTTTAATTTGATGAACATCTAAAATCATCTAGGGACAAGATTAGAAGACTTGATCCGTTTGTTAACTAATCTAAAAGAATACTCTATGTGGTCACCACATTGTCAACTGACCTAAAAGAAGACATGATCTCCAAATGGCACATCATTTTTACAAGAACAAATACTTGTCAATTTGTCTTAGTGTTCCAACCTCATGATTCTTGCACTAGACCACATCAGTAGTAGTAGTTAATTTTTTTTTTTTTGATAAATAACCAAACTTTATTGAGAAAACATCAAGAAGATGCAAAGAATACAAAAGTGGCCCCAAAGGCCTGACCAAATTAACAAGTCAAATCCTCCACAAAATCTACAAAAGCCAACACATCCGAATCTACTAAACCTGTCACCTAACTATATAAAACTATAAGAAGTTGTCTCTCTAACCAAGGAATGGAGTGTGCCACCCCCTGAAACACCCACCTATTACGCTCCAGCCAAATCAACCACATTAGACAGTGTGAAGCAAGAAGCCAAGCCTTCCGATGTCGCCGCCCTACCCGCCCCCCTGCCCAACTTTGCACAACTGTGAACACCGAACCTGGTTGTACTCAAACTAAACCAAAAACTGCAATCACAAGCATCTAAAGACAAGACGAGACCAGGCAATGAATAAGCAAATGGTCAACTGATTTAGCTGCCCTACCGCACAAACAACACTAATTTACCAAAATATGCCCACGACGAATCAAATTATCAATTGTCAAGACACCACCCAAACTTGCTGTCCAAACAAAAAAGGAAACTTTTGATGGCGAACCCGGCACCCAAAAACCTCTCTGCGGATAAACCCTAGCAACATCCTGTGCAAACCCATCCTGAGCAAGCCTCCCATAGAAAGAAGACATAGTAAAAATACCTTTGGATCTAGGACAATCCCAAACCAAAGAGTCCTGACCTTCCCTCACAAACTTCCAACCATATAAATAACCCAGAAGTTCCACCGACTGATCTTGCTTCCAACCCTGAACATTGCGACGCAACTGTACATTCTACACCGTCGTTTGCACCTTCCCACTCTTGACAGCACCCACCGACACCTCACAATCTCAGCAATAACAAAGATTAAAGGGAATCGAAACTCTAAAGACAAGTCACCACACCACCTATCCCGCCAAAAACAAACTCGATCCCCCACACCAACTTTTAACCGCACCCTCCTCCAAAAAACCTCCCGACCTAACCAAATCCCCTTGCACACAACACAACCATGAGAAAGGCCCACCGTTCCAGAACACCACTCTCCCCTACCCATACCGAACTTAACAACCACCACCCTTCTCCAAAGGTACTCCCTCTTCGCCACAAAACGCCACAACCACTTCCCCAACAAAGCCAAATTGAACAAGACCAACCTCCGAACCCCCAAGTCCCTGCTCTCATTAGGCAGACAGATCTGATCCCATGACAGTAAATGATAATGCGCACCCTCATCCCCACCACCCCACAAAAAGTGCCGTTGCAACTGCTCAATCCGCCTTGCTACTGACACCAGGATCATGTGAACAAACATAAAATAAGTCGGAATACTCGCTAAAACACTTTTAATCAACATAAGCCGACCACTCTTTGACAAATACTGCCGCTGCCATCCTGCCAACCGCTGTTGCACCCTATCCACGACCCCGTCCCATACCCGTTTGGCCTTAAAGGAAGCCCCCAAAGGCAAGCCCAAATATGTGACAGGCAAAGAGACCACTTTACACCCCAAGATAGCGGCCAAAATTGAATATCTTGCCACCTACCCCACTGGGATCAATTCTGACTTTGCTAAATTCACCTGAAGCTCGGACACTGTCTCAAAACACAACAGCACACATCTCAAATGCCCAATATGCTCCTCCTCCGCATCATAGAAAATGAGCACATCATCTGCATAAAACAAATGAGACACCTCCACCACCTTTGGAACCACCTCGACCTCAAACCCTTTCAACAAACCTTCTTGTACCGCTCTAGCCAACAAATGCCCCAAAGCCTCCATAACTAGGATGAACAGCAAAGGAGATAAAGGATCACCCTGCCTCAACCCTCGATGAGTCGGAAAGAAACCTTTTGGAGAACCATTGACCAACACCAACATCCGCACAGTGAAAATACAAAAAAAAACCCAACGCCGCCATCTTTCCCCAAAACCCAGCCTCTCTAACATGTATATCAAAAACTGTCAATTCACATTATCATATGCCTTTTCAATATCTAATTTACAAATTAGCCCCGGTTTCCCCTGACGCAACCGCAAATCCACACACTCATTCGCCACAAGCACCGCGTCCAAGATGTGCCTACCCCCCACAAAAGCATTTTGAGAATCCGAAACCACCCCATCTAGCACTTCTCGCAACCGGTTTGTCAAAACCTTAGCTAACACCTTATATACACTGCCCAAAAAACTAATAGGATGGAAATCTCGAATATCCTCCACTCCACCCTGTTTTGGAATCAAAGTAAGGAATATGGCGTTAAGGCTCTTCTCAAATTCGCATGTTTGATGAAACTGGTCAAACATAGCCATCACTTCTGTCTTAACAACCCCCCAACACTGTTGGAAAAAGGAAATAGTAAACCCATCTAGACCAAGTGCCTTATCTCCAGGCATACTATGCAATGCCGCAAACACTTCCTCTTCTGTAAATGGCCTCTCTAATAACATACAATCTGCCTCCGAAATGACATCAAAAATTACCCCAACCAAACCCGACCTCCACCCTTCTCCCACATTCTGAAACAAATGCTTATAGTAACCCACAATACTATCTTTGACACCTTCCAAAGACGAAAATTCCACCCCATTCACTCGAATTCGCCCTATCTAATTGACCCAGCAATGAGCATTTGCCATACGATGGAAAAATTTCATGTTTTGATCCCTATCCTTTAGCCACAAGCATCTGGACTTTTGACGAAAACTGATCTCCTCCATGCGAGCAAGATGGCCAAACTCCTTATGAACCTCCTCCCGGATAGACATATTAGCTGCAAACAACACCCCAGCACCTTCTTTCTCATCTAACACCTTTAATGCAGCTAAAACTTTCACCTTCTGATCCTCTAGGCGACCAAAAACCTCCTGATTCCATTTTTTTAGGTCTAATTTGAAAAACTTCAGTTTCTGCGCCAACCGAGAACTAGGCAATCCTGCCACGCTATAACTTCCCCACCTCCCTTTAACCATCTCCACAATGCCCTTAGATCGCAACCACATGTTTTCAAAATGAAAAGGTGTTGGTCCATGTCTGATAACCTCATTATCCAACAAGATAGGCCAATGGTCCGAAGTGGGCCGCTGTAAACGCCATTAGGTCGCCTGTAAAAAATGCTCCTCCCAATCCCCTGTGACAAAAAATCGATCAATTTGAGACATCACTCCACCCTCGGACCAAGCGAAACTACCACCCTGAAGCAGAAAATCTACTAACTCCATCTTATCAATGAACAAAGAGAAACGTTGCATTGAACCAAACCCCAAATTAGCCCCCAACTTCTCCGCCATACAGTGAACCGCATTGAAATCCCCGCCCACACACCAGGGAACCCCCCATCGATAAGTAGTGCTCTGCAACTCCTCCAAGAAAGAAGACCTCTCCACTCCACGAACTGGACCATAAACCCGGTAAAGGCCCAACGAAAATCATCCTTTACACACCAAAATAGGCAAGATAACGAGAAACCCCCCACTTTAACATCCTCCTTCACCACCATCCTTCGATCCCAGCAAATAAGAACACCCCCAGCCACTCCTAGGGCAGGAAGAAAGTCCCAATCCACAAAACGATATTCCCACAAATCCCTCACAGTGTCCCCTCAATACAATCCATCTTTGTTTCCTGTCGACACACTACATCTGCCTCAACACTGTTTAACACTGATTTTACCAAACACCTTCTTACCTCTATCATTCAGGCCTCGCACGTTCCAAGACAATATTTTTAACCGCATGACAACAATAATGGATCGCTACGCCCCTTCCTTGGAACCCGCACATCTCCCCCCTTAATTCGATCATAATTAATAGAACATTCCAACCTGCGTAATTCCTTAGCACTCTTCTCATTAGGACTAGCAGACGTCACCCCTGACTGGTAAGGAACATTCCCCCGCCATGACTCATCAATGGCCGAAAATAACTGTAATGCCTCAGTTTCATGGCCCTCAAAGAAAACACCTAATAATTGACTAATCTCATTAATACGAGACAATACCCTAGTAGAGACCTCCTTTAGCTGCGGCATGCCATCCCCCTAATAGAAATTTCCTTATAAAAATCAGCCTCTGGATCATCATCATCGCTCATAGCAGTGTCCAATGCCACCTCGTCCTTCACTACTTCAGATCAGACCACTAGAGCCAAACCATCCACCAAGTCAGCCCAGCGACCATGCTCGCTGTCCCCCTACTGTAATCGCACATTCGAAGAACCTACTGTGATAGTCCACGTAGTAAGAAAATGCTTCGTAGCCTCAGCCGAACCCACCACCACCTCCTCTGGAAGTAGGTGTTGCACAGGATCGACGGCCGAGCTAGATGACTACCGAGGAATAGTCAGATAAGTAGTGCTCTGCAACTCCTCCAAGAAAGAAGACCTCTCCACTCCACGAACTGGACCATAAACCCGGTAAAGGCCCAACGAAAATCATCCTTTACACACCAAAATAGGCAAGATAACGAGAAACCCCCCACTTTAACATCCTCCTTCACCACCATCCTTCGATCCCAGCAAATAAGAACACCCCCAGCCACTCCTAGGGCAGGAAGAAAGTCCCAATCCACAAAACGATATTCCCACAAATCCCTCACAGTGTCCCCTCAATACAATCCATCTTTGTTTCCTGTCGACACACTACATCTGCCTCAACACTGTTTAACACTGATTTTACCAAACACCTTCTTACCTCTATCATTCAGGCCTCGCACGTTCCAAGACAATATTTTTAACCGCATGACAACAATAATGGATCGCTACGCCCCTTCCTTGGAACCCGCACATCTCCCCCCTTAATTCGATCATAATTAATAGAACATTCCAACCTGCGTAATTCCTTAGCACTCTTCTCATTAGGACTAGCAGACGTCACCCCTGACTGGTAAGGAACATTCCCCCGCCATAACTCATCAATGGTCGAAAATAACTGTAATGCCTCAGCTTCATGGCCCTCAAAGAAAACACCTAATAATTGACTAACCTCATTAATACGAGACAATACCCTAGTAGAGACCTCCTCTAGCTGCGGCATGCCATCTCCCTAACAGAAATTTCCTTATAAAAATCAGCCTCTGGATCATCATCATCGTTCATAGTAATGTCCAACGCCACCTCATCCTTCACTACTTCAGATCAAACCACTAGAGCCAAACCATCCACCAAGTCAGCCCAACGACCATGCTCGCTGTCCCCTTACTGTAATCGCACATTCGAAGAACCTACTATGATAGTCCACGTAGTAAGAAAATGCTTCGTAGCCTCAGCCGAACCCACCACCACCTCCTTTGGAAGTAGGTGTTGCACAGGATTGACGACCGAGCTAGACGACTACCGAGGAATAGTCAGCGACCGCACGACAAGTCCTATCGACGCGCATGCCACCGGCGATGACCCATGAATCGGGGTAAGGCCAAATCCACCCCTTAACGTCGAGAAGACCTGACTGGCAGTAGGGTTTGCTTGGGCTAACTCAGTTTGGGGCCCTCCAGCCCTTCTTGGGCTCAAAACTTCATCTGAAAAAGGCCCACATTGGTTTAAAATTTGTTTAGTGGCTCCTCCATCCCTTTTTGGGCTCAGAACTTCATATAAGAAAGGCCTATGTTGTTTTAATATTTTTTTAGTAGCCCACTGCTATTTGGGTCCACCCTAACATTTCGAAACTGGGCCTTAGCAAAGCACACTCGTCCCTTTTGTTGACCCCATATGGAACCCTGACCCAGGCCTACACGGGTTGGACCCACTTGACCTCGTTCACCCCTAACCATAGCCTCTTTCCCAAATCTCAGTAAATATTCCTTCACCCCTAATCTTTGCAAATCTCTGCAATTCGATTGAACCGAATCTAGCCCGTGCTTATCCGTCTCATTTCTGGCGCCACTCGGCACTGCAAATCCACCGATGGTCCCTTCTCCGCCCACACTGGTAAGGAGAACTGCTACGAACCCCAACGAACAGCCACGCACGACGGAGTACATTCAGAGCTGCGGATACGCAACCAAACAACGCCCAGGTCTAAAGATGTCTCATCCACTTCCAAAAAACCACCACACTGATCACCAATAACATGATATACGTCGTCCCCACGAAGGTGAAATGACAAACCCATCACCCGAATCCAGACACTCTTCGACGGCAACAATATGTCCTTTGAATGACATAGGGCAAGAGGTGACCACCACTCCAACAACAATTCCCGTCCATCAGTAATCCATCTCCGATGCAACAATAACTCCGCCTCTTTTTGTGATGTAAATACAAATAACAATGCCTGATCTCCTAACGGACGCACCTCTACCTTCCCGGATGCCTTCAACCAACGCTGAACCCAGTCAAACATTGCTGCGAAACTCATCCATTTTCCACCCAACTGCCCCACTTTACCCACCAACGATCTGTCCAACATTCAGAACTAGTCTAACTCTGTAGTGCACCGTACTGCCGTAGCCCCTCTAACCCCTCCTCGCATTGCCAGTTGCGAGGGATCAAATTTTGATGTAGCCTTGCCATACATTGGACCGCCCTTCTCTAACTGAAAGCCTTCAAGGACCAGGGCCACACAGTCCCAACTATCCCCATAATTCGACATAGAAATGAAAATTTGCTCCATCCGCTTCCCTGTCGTGACCACTAGTTGAATCGATGAACCGCCGTTTTCCTCTCCACGAACCCAGACAGCCAGAGTCCGACTACCACCACTGAGTCGACCCAGAAACTGAAAATTACCGGGGTCCTGCGAGTCCATCCTCAGTTTCGTCACCAACCAGTGCACATCATGTCCATACACCACTATAACCTGACGAAGCCCAAGACCTCACTCTACAATCGACACACCACGATGGCTAGGAGACTCTGTCGCCACCTCCTCAAACTCAAAAGATCGATCGCCGAGAAACAAAATTTGCCAACGTGGACCACTATTATCCACCATCGGAAACATTTCACTGAACTCCACCTTCTAAGTATCCTTCAACCCGAGACTCATAATTTTATTGTGTTAATTTTTGTAATTTTACCTATAGTAGTAGTTAAATTTGTTCCCTATATACACCTACAATTCAGAGCCAAAACACATGACCTTAACTTTCCTAGGTAGAAAACTACTACTTTTTCAGTCTCCAAATGGCACATTATTTTATGAGTTTAAGCCTAATCTTCCCCCTCAATCTTGCTAGTTATCCATCTCCTGCTCCTACCCTTGTTGCTTTCAGAGTTTGCCTCAGCAGCCATTCTTGGAAACCAAACTGATAATTTTGCCCTGCTCGAGTTTAAATCCCAAATACATGATGAAACTATAGGAGCATTGGCCTCTTGGAATGATTCTACCCCACTCTGCCAGTGGGTTGGAGTCACATGTGGCCTCAAACACCCAAGAGTCATCAGCTTGAACTTGTTTGATCAGAAGTTGACTGGGACAATATCGCCTCACATTGGAAATCTCTTTTTCCTCCAGTCCCTCAACCTTGGTACCAATTCCTTCTACGGTGAAATCCCCCCAGAAGTTGGCTGATTGATCAGGTTACAAGATTTGAACTTGACTAATAACTTTTTACAAGGACAAATCCCTGTCAATTTGTCTCAATGTTCCAAACTCATGGGTCTTGCACTACACCTCAACCGCCATGAAGGTCCAATTCCTTTTGAGCTTGGATCACTATCAAGGCTTGTAACACTATCATTTCATAGCAACAATCTTACAGGAAAATTCCCAGCTTCAATCAGTAATCTATCAACTCTCCCAGCGTTTCACATTACATATAACAATTTGTGAGGAGAAATTCCAGATAAAGTTTCCCAAATGAGAAGTTTGAGCATTTTCCAAGTAGGAGAAAATAATTTTTTCGGTCCATTCCCTCCTCTCTAAAATCTTTCGTCACTCATAACATTGACTTTGCCCGCTAACAATTTTTATGGTAGACTCAAGGTCGACATGTTCTTTCTTCTTCCAAATCTTCAATGCCTCTATTTGGGAGGTAATCAATTTACTGGACCTATACCAGTTTCTTTGTCCAATGCTTCAAATCTTCAAACTGTTGAATTTGATGCAAACAATTTCACTGCAAGCATACCTATAAATCTTGGCAAGTTTCAAAATTTAAGTTGGCTTTCATTATCAAATAATACTCTTGGAATTGGGGTTAATGATATGAGTTTTTTCACTTCTTTGACCAATTACAGCCAGCTAACAAATCTTGATATAAGCATAAATCAGTTCATGGGTACATTGCCTAACTCAATTTCCAATATGTCAATTCAATTGACTTGGCTACATATTGGTGGAAGCATTCCTGAGGAGATTCAAAACCTAGTTAACCTAAATGCGTAGGGGATGGAATATAACCTTTTGACAGGCATCAGCCCTACTTTAGTGGGAAAGCTTTCAAACTTGAAAATACTGGAGTTAAGAGGAAACCATCTGATAGGGGAAATCCCCTCTACCATCGGCAACATAACTCAACTCTTGCTTCTTGGTTTGAGTAATAACAGCTTAGAAGGAAACATACCTTCCAGTTTGAAGAATTGTATATACCTGCAAGCCCTACATCTCTAGCAAAATAAACCCAACGGCACCATACCCAAGTGTCTCATGAATCTTTCATCACTTTCTAGAGGCCTGGACATGTCACACAATTCCTTAACTGGTCTGTTGCCTGCAGAAGTTGAAAACTTGAAAGAACTTGTTATCCTTAATGTTTCGTACAATAAATTGTCCGAGGAGATTCCTAGCACACTAGGGTGATGTTTGGCATTGGTGCAGTTGTCTATGCATCATAACCTCTTCCATGGGATCAGTCCTTCCATGAGTCAATTGATGGGCCTTCAATATTTAGATCTTTCTAACAATAACATTTTGGGCCAAATTCTGCAATACATGGTGAATCTTTCATATCTACTAAATTTGAATTTGTCCTTCAACAATCTTGAAGGCGAGGTACCCACAAATGGAATTTTTAACAATGCAAGTGTTGTGTGTTAGGTAAACGACAACCAACATGTAAAAAAGCCGCTCGGATCCCTTATGACAATGAATCCTACTTTGAATCATTTAAATGCTAGGTCGTTCCTCTCAAGTGACACGTTGCGCCTACCCCCCGGTGTTTCAAAAAGTGAGCAAGGGGTGCCGCATCGACGCTTGAGTGCGGTGAAAAATGGGCAAAGATTCCCATGTTTTTTTGGACCAAGGGTCTTGTGGAGAATGTAGTGGCGGTCATTAGGAAAGGGGATATGATTATGTTAGTTAAACTAGTTATTGGAGGGAATATAGTGAACGTTATTAGTGTATACGCCCCTCAAGTAGGATTAGATGATCAGACTAAAAGGGATTTTTGGGAACAAATGGATGAGATCTTACAAGAGATATCTATAGGAGAGAACTTGGTTATGGGTGAAGATTTTAATGGCCATGTAGGCATAGATAAACTAGGCTATGAAAGGATGCATAGTGGATACGATTTTGGTGACAGAAATGAGACTGGAGAGAGTATCTTAGATTTTGCGTTGGCTTCTGACTTGGTGGTGGCCAATACTATGTATAAGAAGAGGGGGGAGCATTTGATAACCTTTAAGAGTGGGTCAGTTAAGAGCCAAATAGATTACTTCTTAGTGAGAAAAATGGACTACCTAAAATGCAATGATTGTAAGGTGATTTCTAGAGAGAGCCTGACCTTTCAACATAGGATTTTGGTACTAGATTTATGTTTTAGAGGGAAATACCAAGATAGGAAGGAGGGTGGATGTCATAGGATGAGATGGTGGGACCTAAAAGGGGATAAATTAGAAATATTTAAGAATAAAATGAATAAGGAAGGTACTTGGGACTTGGAAGATGATGCTAACACTATGTGGAACTCGATGACCAATTGTATGAGGAGAATCTCATAGGAAGTGCTTGGAGAGTCGAAAGAAATGGGACCCAGCTCTAGGAAAACTTTTGCGATGAAGGGAAGAGGTTTAAGCGGTAGTTAAGGAAGAATAATAGTGCTTTAAAAAGTGGCAAAAGGATAAAACTGAGGAAAACCTTAAGAGTTGGCTAATAAGGAGGTCAAGAAAGTACTGAGAGAGGCTAAGTTGAAAGCTTATGATGGCCCATACACTAGACTAGATAGTAAGGAGGGAGAGAAGATGGTATACAAACTTGCTAAGATACGGGAGAGGAAAACAATATATTTTAATCAAGTTAAGTGCATCAAAAGTGAGGATTCTAAGGTATTGGTGAGGGATGAAGAGATTAAGGAAAGATGGGAGAACTATTTTGAGAAACTATTAAATGAGGAACATAGAGGTACGACAATAAGGGAAGAAATAACCAGTAATACGATAAACCAAAACTATAGGTTCTATCGCAGGATTAGGAACTTTGAAGTGGAGATTGCACTTAAGAAGATGAAATCAAATAAGGCTTTAGGACCAGATGATATTCCTATTGAAGCTTGGAAGTGTTTGGGTAAAAAGCTGGCTGCTTGGTTGACTAGATTGTTTAACAAAATTTTGCTGACTAGGAACATGTCAGATAAGTAGAGGAAGAGTATTTTAGTGTCAATCTATAAGAATAAAGGAGATGTCTAGAATTGCAAAAAATATAGAGGAATCAAGCTAATGTGTCATATAATGAAAGTGTGGGAGAGAGTGATAGAACGCCGATTGCGAGATATAATAGAGGTGTCAAAGAATCAATTTGGGTTTATGCTTGGCAGATCAACAATGGAAGCGATCTATCTTTTGAGGAGAGTAATAGAAAAGTATAGAGAAAAGAAAAGAGACATTCATATGGTGTTTATCGACCTTGAGAAAACATATGATAGAGTGCCCCAAGATATAATATGGTGGGTGTTAGCGAAGAAATGGGTAACAAAAGATTACATTGATGTGATTAGGGACATGTATAAATGGGTGGTGACCACTATTAGATTGCCTGCTGGAGAGAGAAATGAATTTCCTATCACTGCAAGGTTACACCAAGGATCTACCTTAAGGCCTCGTTTGGGAACAGGCTATTTTAGTAACTTGTTGGCTATTTACGAAAAGATGTGCAAAAAAGTAGAGAGGTGATGTGACAACTTTTAGTAACTTTTTGACTTTTTGGCTAAAATAGCCACTCCCCAAACAAGGCCTAAGTCCTTATCTTTTGCTTTAGTTATGGATGAGTTGACGAGAAATATTCAGAATGACGTGCCATGGTGTTTGTTTTTTGCAGACGATATAGTGCTAGTGGATGAGACTAGAGAAGGAGTTAATACAAAGTTGGAGATTTGGAGAAAAACTCTTAAATCTAAAGGATTCCAGATAAGCAGAACTAAAATAGAATACATGGAGTGTAAATTTAGCAACAGTAGCAATGAAAGCAGAGGAGAAGTAAAGATTGAGAACCAAGAACTGTCTGAGAGTGAATATTTTCGTTATTTAGGGTCGATTATCACAACAGTGGGGGAGATTGATGTGGATGTGGCTCATAGGGTTAAGGCGGGATGGTGTAAGTGGAGAAGTGCGTTTGGAATACTATGCGATAAACGAATACCCACTAGACTTAAATGTAAGTTCTATAGAACGACTATTAGACCAGCGACGTTGTATGGGATGGAGTGTTGGCAACCAAGAAACAACATGTAGATAAGATGGGTGTGGCTAAGATGAGAATGCTAAGGTGGATGTGTGGCAGGACTAGATAAGACAGAATTAGGAATGAGTGTATTCGGGAATGGGTAGGAGTAGTACCAATAGAAAATAAGTTGAAAGAGAATTGATTGAGATGGTTTGCTCATATTCAACGGAGACCAACAGCGGCAATAGTGAAGAGATGAGATGCTGTAACGGTAGATGGAAGTGTTATGGGACGGGGTAGGCCTAGATTAATATTGGTTAGCGTTGTAAATAGAGATATGGATCTACTTAATTTGACGAACTAAATGGCCTTTGATAGGGCCGCGTAGAGAAGAAGGATTCATGTAGCCGATTTCATTTGATGAGACTTAAGGCTTGGTTTAGTTTGGCAAGTGCTATTGAAATCTACGACAACATTAAGCTTTGTGGGGGGATTCCAAAGTTGCAACTGCAACAATGCCCTATGTAAGAAGTTGAAAGACCAGGGAAGCATACTACTCTTAAGTTAGTTTTGATGATTGTCATTCCTATTTCTTTAATAGGCCTGACGTTTTCTCTGCTTTCACTTTTCCGGACAACAAAAATGAAGCATAAATCTCTAGCAACATCTTCGTTTGAACTCTTCTATCCAAAAATCTCTTACAAAGAGCTCCTCAAAGAAACTAGTGGATTCTCTATAGAGAATTTGATTGGATCTGGTAATTACGGAAAAGTGTATAAAGGAATGCTCAGTCCTAATGAAACAATTGTGGCGATTAAGGTACTCAATCTTCATCAGCGAGGAGCAGCCAAAAGCTTCATGGCTGAATGCAAAGTTTTGAGAAATGCTAGACACCGTAACCTTGTCAAGGTTTTGATTGCTTGCTCCAGTACTGATTATGATGGCAATGAATTCAAAGCTCTAGTATTTGAGTTCATGCCAAATGGGACTTTGGAAAGCTGGTTGCATCCAAGAGATGATCAAACACAGTTGAGAAAATTAAACTTTCTCCAAAGATTAAACATTGCAATAGATGTCGCTGTTGCAATGCATTATCTTCATAATAAATGTCGAACACCTATTGTTCACTGTGATCTAAAGCTAAGCAATGTTCTCCTTGACAATGACCTTACTGCTCATGCAAGTGATTTTGGTTTGGCAAGGCTTTTTTCAATATCAAGGAGAGATATTACTTCTGGGCAGTTCAGTTCAATTGGTGTTAAAGGTACAACTGGTTATGCAGCTATAGGTATACCTCTCTGTCTGTCTGTCTCTCTCTCTCTCTCTCTCTCTCTCTCACACACACATACACACACACATTGGAGTTATTTTCTTTATTAAAGCTTCTGTCATAAGATGCAATTAAATTTCAATAGACTTTGAGCTTCACATAAAAGAAGGTCCTCTTACCATGATTGAGACAAAATTTCAGTATATAATATATTACAAAGTGTTTATATGATTGATCAAGTTTCATGACTTTTATTGCATTGTTCAAGACATGGGTAATGTTATACAAACAATTTTTTTTGTAGGAAATTTTTGTGCGTAATGATTTGCAATTGTGTAAAATTTTTATTTCAAACTAAAGCATCTATCATTGTGGCTGACAATTTTAATTATCTAGATGAGTCTTTTTTGGTATAAAAATTATGTTTGTTGATCATTTCCTTAATATAATGGTCACTATGTACTAGTATGAAAGGTAATCTTTTAATTTTGTGGAGTATGGTTTGGGCGAAGAGGTGTCAACTCGTGGAGACACGTATAGCTTTCGGATCCTCTTGTTCAAAATGTTAACTGGTAGAAGGCCTACTAATGAGCTATTCAAAGATGATTTGAACCTTCACAACTTCGCTAAAATGGCATTGCCTAGGCGAGTAACGGGGATAGTAGACGAATTCCTTTCAAGCGAGGAAATAAAAGGAGTTTAAAATTGCATTGGAAGTTCAAGTGAGCATAGAATGACATAATGCCTAGTTTCTGTATTTCAGATTCGAGTGGCATGCTTATATTTTCTGCCAAGATATAAAATGAAACGAGTGATGTTGCTTTGGAATTGCCCTTAATCAGAGACAAATTTATCAAAAATGGAGCACGCAATAACACAACGCAATTTACAAGTAAAATCTTTGAAGTTGTAGTATAGTATGGTCTGTAAATTCTTCTGTTCTACTATGTATTGTTTACCAGACATAAATTTCTCGACTTTCTCAGTTTTCTTTCAACCTCAAAGTCTTGTTTGTATGTAAAGTTTCCTATATAAATGGGATTTTCTTTGTTGAGTATCGCGTATCAATGTCAGGAATGCGGAAAGTTGTTGATTAAAATTGGAATTGTCCTCATATTTATAATTTTGTCAATTTTTGAGAAATGTTTTGGCATTTTATCATTTTAGTATAATGAAAAATAAAAGTCCACTGAAAATATTTTTTTATGATCAACTTAAAACAAATATATTTAGACGAAAAATAATTTACACTTTTGAAATGTGAAAAATATTTTTTGAACTAAAATCCTACCAATACCACCTCTATTACTACTATTAACATCTCCACCATCCCACAACTATCACCTCTATGACCCTACCACCACCACCGCCACCTTAGAACTACAACTAGGGTAAATTACACTTTGTACCCTTACATTTTGCACAAATCTCACTTTGGCCTCTTTACACATGAAATCAAGACAATCAACCTTTGTACTTCTGGTCAAATTTCATTTTGATCCCTACAAATGAAATAATGATAGTTAAATTCCATTTTGGTCCCTACACAAGTGTCAATGTCTCTCTTCTGTTATCTCATTTTTAAATCTTTAATAAAATCTAATCATGTGACAAAAATGTGACTATAAAATGAGGGTAGAAGAGAAAAATCATCCATGTTTCCCACCAATACACTTTGTTCTACGTGATAAACACGTAAGAGTTATATAATACAATATATGTGTGTGTGTGTGTGTGTGTGTGTGTGTGTGTGTTCATGTGCTAAAAATTGGGACAAAGAGACAACAAAATAGAGTTTTTAAAATAAAATAAAAAATGCGATAAAGAAATCAAAGAGAAGGAAAGATAAATAGACAGAAGATTGTGTTACCGTGAAAAATAGAGTTTTGTGATTCCAATTTATGCAAAACCTTTGTTCATCTTCTTAATCATTCACAATTTGCGTTTTGTTTTAGCCTAATACAGTCATAATTTGATGTAAATTTTGGGACAAAGTGTTTATTGGTGAAAAATGTAGATGATTTTCCTCTCTTACCCTTATGTCGTAGTCACATTCTTGTCACTTGATTAGATTCTGTTAAAAATTTAAATAATTGAGTAATAGAAATAGGACATTACACTTATGTAAAGACCAAAGTGAGATTTGACCAAAAATATAGGGGATTGACTATCACAATTTCATGTGTAGGGACCAAAGTGGATTTGACTAAAAGTGCAGGGGTTGATTATCATGATTTCATATATAAGGGACAAAGTGAGATTTGGTGTAAAGTATAGGAGTGTAAAGTATAATTTACCCCTACAACTAATACAGTCACTAACACATTAGTTTCAAGATCATAACCAAATATAGGAAAATATTTTTAAGAAAAGTATTTCATAAAATGTAACCCATTAAACAATAATTTTGTTGAAACAAATAGGGCGTTATAATTCATAGCAAGTACGTACTCTTCTAAGTTTGATAAAATTGGAACATTTGGCATGCGTAAAATGCATAATTCATAGCAAGTAGGTACTCTTCACTTTGCTAAAATCGCAACATTTCGTATACATTAAATGCATGATGCTACTGATCAATTTTGATTTCTTAAACCTCTTTTATTATTAACTTTTTGTTGACAGTCAATCTAATTTTTAATTAGTAAATTTATTTTTTCACTATCCCTCGGTGGTCAAGGCAATAGATGTGATGTTGAATTAGTATGCAGATTGTTACATGTCTCTTTTTAAGGACATAATCCAACAACTAAAGAATTGTTCATATACGGATGATTTTATTTGCACTCAAATAATAATTTAATGTGCTTAATTTAAAATTTAAAATTTTAATTTCTATTATATCTTAATATAAATTTACTAATAAAGACAATGCACATTAAACACTAAAATAAAATATAATTTTTTTTTTCATGTTATACTCTAATCACTTATATGTATTGTTGATATTCAAGTCTCTTAATTATTTTCTCTTAATTTTAATTATTTTCTCTTCATCTTCTTTCTCACTCCAAAACTCCAATCCACCGCTCTAAAACTCACCGTAAATTGTTTGCAAAGAAGACAAAACTAGAAGAATTAATGAATCAATATTAGATGAAAAAGAAATTGACAAGCAGTATGGTGGTCGAAAGACAAAAATATAAACTCTTATTTTTTATTTTTTCTTGCCTATGGTGAACACCAGAACAAATGGTATGGCCGAAAGAATGGCGAATCAGGCCGGAATCACATCTTCACTATACTACTTTCTTCTTGAAACAGTGGACGGCCAGATACCAAATGGGATTCACAACAATGAGAAGAATAATACTGCTGTATTTGGTCGTTTATTATTTGAATGTACCAAAAATTATAATTTCATTTTGAACGGTCATTTGTAAAAAAGTTATAAAGTGTATTGAAAATAAATTATAACTTGAATAATTTAATAGAAAGTATTAAGAATTTGAACATACTAAATAATATTTTGAGTGCAAATAGATTCACCCTTCATATACATATTGGAATTGATAATAATAAAAATACATAAGTAATCTTGTGAGGATCATCTGAGGACTAAAGTTTCGGGGCAGCATTTTACTCTCTAACATACTAACGTAACTAGGCTATTCTATGCTTGGCAAATCTTAATAATTTTGAGAATAGATCATTAATTTTTTTTGAAGATAAATATAATTAAAATATTTGATCAATTTAATTTTTTACATAAATACTCAATTTGACAAACTCTATAAGATAAATAGTTCGAGTCATTAAAGTGAGTTCAAGATAGAGGCACCAAGTTCTAACATCTCTCCAATTGCATTACCAACCAAAGAGAAGCCCCAAGTGACAGCCCATGCCTACAGGCAGCCACTGTCCTCTACCTAGCATAGATAGAGCAAGTAGAGTTGTAAACAAATCGAGTCGATTTAAACTTTGTTGAGCTCGAGCTCGGCTTGATAAGGAATTGGGTTAGAGCTTTGCTTGGCTCGTTAATATTAATAAAATTCGAGTTCGCCTTGACTCATCACGATAATTTTTTTTTAATATTTTCCCTCAATACCTAATCAAGATTAGTAATTAATGAAGAAGATGTAGAAATACAAAATAATAAACTTGATTTAAGCTGGAATATACCCCGATTATCAGTCAAAGAAATTTATAAAACTACTTTCTTACAGTCTACTTTTAATGTTAATCTGCATGCTTAAACATTAGAACAAGTTTATGCTTTAGAAAAATCTTGAGAAACCTGTCAGTTATTTGATGTTAATACTATTAAACGTCATTTAAAAACTGGTCACAATTTTATTCATTTAGGATTAATTCAAGTTGGAATAATACCTTTAACTCCTCAAGGTAAAAATACTTTTGTTTTATTGTGTTTAAGAGATGCTCGTTTTATTGATTATAATGATAGTTTAATGGGTATGATGGAAACTGGTCTCCACAAAGGCCCCGTTCATTTTAATTATTTTCCTGATTTTACTCTTAGTCTTAGAGATCCACATATATTAGATGCATTAACTTTGAATATTCAATTAAATGGTTCATTTACAAATATGAAAGAAAAAGTTCATAATATTACTTTAATTTATCGTGTTCATTATAGATGTATTAAAACCAATTTAAATATTCAGGCTTTACATAAAAGTCCAAAAGATAAAACTTTACTGATTCAAAGTAGTAGTCACGATACTAATATAAATATTCCTCAAATGATTAAATAGAAAGATATTACTCTCCCCGATCAATGGGTTACAGTCAATGAAAACTACAAACATAATCAAAAACAATCTACTAGTCAAGATATCCAAAATATTCAACAATTTACTGATGGTTCAGTCCATATTAAATTTAAACGTAGTCAATCCTCTAGACATAGTACTTCCAGAATACCTACTGATACTGAAACAGAAGATGAAATATTTAATACGCCTTTGTTCAGAAAAAAATAGTCAAATCAATCTTGGTCAATCTTCCCATAGTAAAATGAAAAGAGTTGACAACTCCACAACTTCTCAAATTAGTAAACCTGTTTATTCAACTCACACACATCTTCCTGAAGATGACACTGAGTCTCAAGATTCCCCTACTCAAATTGATTTCGAAGTTATACCTCCCATCAATCCTCAATTAATGACAATTAGTAAACCATTTGCTCCTGATCTTGATAAATTACATATTGAATTTAAATCTAAAGCTAATAGGACTCAATGTCATGCTTATAGCGCCAAATATGATTCTGCTCAACAATTTAAAATTACTCGAAAATGGTATGATTTTGATTGAATATAGTATTGAAATTCCTTTCTTTGAATATTTAGAAAATTATTACAAAAAAGTGAATACAATTACAAAACATAAATGGAAAACTTCTCCCAATACTTATGTCTGTTTTAGTCATCCTCCTTTATCTAATATAATTATTGAACACCAAGGATCTGAAGTTCCCGCCTCTTCTTTTAAGTTGCCTGGCACTGATCCTGAAATCAAAAAAGTTATTGAACAAAATAATTATACTAATCAATGTCTAAAAATAATTGGTAAACAATTAGACAAAATAGAAACCAATTTAGACGATTATTCGGCTCATAATACATCTACTAAACAATCTTTACACCAACCATTGCTTAATTTACCCAGTAATCGTTCTAAACGTCATAGTTTAGTCACTCGAGACAATTCTACTGTCAAAGCCATTGAACAATTATTTAC